AATAATAAATAGTAACTGAATTTCATAGGTGTACTGTGCATTTCTAAATTACACTGAAACAATTTATAATTTGGTTTTTAATTTATCTTCCATGAACATTGAAAAAAAAGATTATCTATTAATTTTATATTTAATTTATGAGTTTCTAGTCCGTCAAGTTTCACTAGCCAAATTATAATAAATCATGCATTAATTTGAAATATATTTACCTATTCTGCAGCTATCTTCATCATTAGGGAATATTAGCATATCTCTAGCATATCGTGGATTACCCTGGGGTTTCCATGATGGTCTATGGCGGGTATGAGGTAGAGGCCTGAAAAAAAAAAAAACCCATCCAATTTTATTTAACAGATATAAGGAGACAACAAGAGGTAAGTTCGCTATGATTTGTTTTGTCTTTAATTAAGGGTAAAGGAGGCACATAGAATTATTTTTTCTGAACATAAAACTAAAAGATAGTAAATGAAATGGGGTTTAATGTCCTGCTTTTCTGCACCGATCGGGCTAATAAGATAGACATGTGCCATCCAGGGTGCTTTAAGAGAAAATTTACCCATGCCATCCAGGGTGCTTTAAGAGAAAATTTACCCAGACAGTGGTATTACGATCTACTCTTATTTTGAATTCCATTTGCCAAGTGTTCTTTTACATGCAAGATACATCTTTTTTTTGTCCCATTCGAACAACTAGACACTGTCCCTTGTAAAGCCCTCTATCCTGCAACACTGACAAGAAGAAATCTAAGAAACTGTCTTGGCCAACACCAGGTGCCAACCCAAGACCTCCTGATTAGTGAGCCAGTGCCTTAGTTCCTGAGCCACCTGGTCTCTCACAAAAGAGAATCTTCCATTCATTTGTCACTAATCTCCACATTATAGGTGTTTGAATGGGGGACCTGGAATTTCTTAACTGAAAATGAAAGAGGTCAACTTTTAAACAACACTACTTACTTTGACCAATCAGGTAAACTTCTTCTATATATGGAATCTAATGGTAAGACTTGTTGTCGTCCTCCCGTATCACGATATATTTCTTTAGCTTTTTTAGACGTGTGGGTAACTATACAATCCATATCAGCGGACATATGCCACGATAAAACTCTGGCTATATCATCATCTTCTACCATCGCTAAATGACCAATCTAAAAGTACATTAAAAATATTTGCATTTCAAATCCTTTTTCTTTATGTGGGCGTATAATAAAAAATAATGCAAACTCCTTTAACATTTTTTCTTAATTCAATCTGCTAAAGTTATAATAGGGGACATCAGCTTGGAGACCCCTTTTCAACAACTGGTCGTACAAAAACTACATAATATGTGGTTATGATAGTTACCTTTCCCAAGACTTCCGGACCAGTAAAACCCGGAGCGAGACCACATCTTCTTCGAGGAACCTGTAATAACTGATCCCTTTCTCTTATTCGACCGTCAATTAACTTCTGTATCGATGGACCCTACAAAATAATTTAATACAATAACCTATCCCTCTTTCGTATTCTACTCTATTAATTTCTTTTTTGGCAGACCATACAATACAATTTAATAATTGATAATGGTTTTGTTAAGACAGTTACTGTGGTTTAAATATAAATCACTGATTGAGAATTGGTATTAAGTAGTAGGAAACTGGAGGATCTGGAGTTATCACATACAAGTCTAGGATTGAAACCACAGACTATATGATCTAAAGCCCTCAACCTCCTAAACCCACAAGTGCTACTTTAACCTTGTATTATCGAATAAGTATTACATTACATACTGTAAGCTGTCTATCTGCAATATTTTGTTTCCGTAATTCGGCTCTTGCTGCTTGTTCTTTTTTAGAAGCTTCTTGAAGAGTTACTGAAAGAACACAAAACGGTACTTATGGAACTCATCAATCAATAAAGACATTTACCAAATTAAAATGGAATGTGATTAAACTTATTGTCAATAGCCTAGTTTGATCAGACTAATATATATGGTAATAGAGGAAATTTTTCCCCCAACATCCCTACTGGAGTAAAAGAGGTAAGTCTAAGGGTTTAAATACAACTGTACAGCAATAAATGTATGAATGAAATGGGATTTAATGTCTTACTTTTCTGCTCCCACCGGTTTAATGATCCAAGCATCCGCAATGCAGTATGCTGGACGGATAATTTAGCCCAGACAGCCATTGAATTCCCATTATACCTCTGGTTTTTTTTGTGCGATCTAAATGACTAGGCACTGTCTTGGCCAGGTCCTCTGTCTTGCATCACTGACATGGAGGGAACAACACCAGAAAATACTCAAGGTTAGCAAGCCAGTGCCTTACTTACTGAGCCACCACAGCTCTCTGAAGGTACAGCAAAGATTACTTACATCGTATTTCATTGACTAGCTGTTGTTGCATCTCAAATGTAGATTTATAAAGTCGTATCTCATTCTGTAACACATCTCTCTGTTTTGATAATGTTGCCATCTGAGATTGTTTCTTAGCATCTGAAACAAACCAAATATGAAGATCCAGTCATCAACATTCTGTATACCAAAGTCAAATTTACGTCAATGAAACTATTAAATTTCCAAGAAATTTCTAATTGGCAAAAGGCACAACTACATGTACAGAAAGTTTCATAAAGATATCTAGAACAGTTTATGAGGTATGCCCCTGAAACAAAACCGCAATGGAAGGATAAACAGATGGATGGAAGGATGAACAGATGGATGGAAGGATGAACAGACGGATGGAAGGACTCCATTTCAATATCCCTCCCTTAACTTTGTTTGACAAGGGATACAAATAAAATAAAGACAAAAAACTTTTGAGCTCGTGCTCCAATATACGAAAGTCATCAAAAGATGATATATCCCCTGGCTTACAATAATTTGTACAATGACGCTCTGGGAAAATGGAATGAAATCAATACATTTTAATTAATCTTCAATTACATTTTAATGTAAATACATGTATCAAAATTTCCAACAACATGAATTACAAGTCTCAAAGTTCAGCATCAAAGAAGTAAATCACAACAATTTACAAAAAATATCTTTTAACAATTTTTTTAATTTTTTTTAAGGATCCTTTTTTTAAACATGTAAGGTTAAACAATGTAGATTTCTGAATAGATGTGGACTGGAATGTAATTAAAGATTAGTACTAATTAGCATTCAATCAATTAATTTATGAGATAAAAGGCAATCAGACCATCTTATTATATATTAATGTTAACGCCAAGATGACAAGCGTATTCAAATAAAATAATTCATTCTAATAATGGTTACTACATTAAAGTATAATTTACTACCTGTAGTAATTTCCTGACAATGTTAATAGAGCAACTATTTCAATCAATTAAAACTTTTAAAAATGAACCATATATTCAATTCATTTTATAACAACAAACTATTTAGACTGATTAATTATTCTATCATGTTTTATATTCCAAATTTTCATTTTAACAGAGTCAATTTTATGTAACATCAGACAAGACTTATAAATGTGTGCCATGTTCTGTAAACAGTCAATAAAAATGCAACTGTTCCAATCGTGTCAAGACATCGTCCACTGATCTATGTACAAACTCACGAGCATAAAGCAGTCGAAATAAAGATATAATTGTCTATAATAATTACAGACAATTAGCCATATTTCATGGTTTTTCAAACATGACTGAAGAGAAATATTACTAGAGGAAATATGTGGCAATGCTAATTAAATGTTTTATTAATGAATGTAGCAAGAAAAGGTATTGCATAATTAATGACAGGTACAGGTAAATCTCAGGTGTGTTAATATAATCAATAGTCAATAGTATCATTTCTATACATTCTACCTATGTCTAACTTTATATCTACCACATATACCTGAGTCATTATTGGATTTGACAGAGGAATTGGGAGGATTCTTGAAGGAATATTTTCAATATATTCACTGTTTCAATTCAGGATTCAAAGAAGAACTAAAATAAATCTTCAACTGTTTCATTCTAGGATTCCAAGAGGAAATGAATCTTTAAGTTTAAGGAGTATATAACATCATTCTAGGATTCAAAGCGGAATGGCTAGAAATCTTTAGAAATTAAGGAGTATAATACATCTACCCCATACTACTGCATCATCATCCTAATATTTAAAAGGTATGTTAAAGGAGCTGAATCACTATTCTTAGGCACCTAGAAATGGGCACCAATGGGAAGCAACGCATATAATAATGTAATATGAATGTATATAAACTGATTTACTTTCAATTGTTTCTGTTTTTACTGTAATTTCTAATCAGTTAAGTTTGGCGAAATATGCGAAGAGTCTGAATTGAATGACAGTCTTTGGTGTCTGGTAATTTCAGTCTACATCGGTAGTATTCTCCAACATGGGATATGTTTAGCCTTGTTCATCGAGTCACTTTATAAAATTTTTAAATTTTCATTTTATCGTAAATATTGGATATCAGAATCCCAACTGTTTGGTAAAATATTTCCAGATCATCATGTCAGGATTCCCGCTCTCTTCAATATCAGAAATACCACATTTACGTCTCCAGGTTACAACTAATTCTAAAGGTCAGAGACAAATTGACCTTAGTGACAGGAAACTTGGCATCATTCCTGCAGATGTTTTTACTTTTACACACATACAGGTAAAGTAGGTTTCATTTTTTCAAATCACTCAATGGTTTCTGAATTATTGCTTTGAAAACTGAGTTAAAATACTGAGCCTGCAACTAAGCGGGGAAGATTTCCAATCATATTCCCATGCCTATGTGTCAGTTAACTTTACTGCACACGTAAATGGATGTTCCACCCAAGATTGACCATCCAAAACAATCAAATCAAATCAAAACAATTGCAGACATTTTCCTAACCATCTATCTCACAGATGTAGGAAATGAAGAAAATTGGAACATTAGCTACAACCAACTGGATTATCACTAACTATATCACAGATTAGAAATCGTTACATTTTAACAAAAATATAAAGAGGCTATAGCATTTTCATCAAGAAAACAAATGTAATTAAATTCAAACATGACCAATGTAACTATGTAGTCATATCACCAAATTAACAAAAATTGAAACACTGACTTTGCAATTGAAGTAGCTAGGAGAGTATAAACAGGGATTTACTATTGAAATAACACTGACATTATACAAAGATAAAGTTATACAACCCTGATAATTGTTAAATTATACATCATTTTTCAGGAACCGTTAATAATCAATTAAACAGAATTCCTTTTCTTTAGAATTATTAAAATTAACTTTGTTTCAGGTATTAAAACTGTCCAACAACGAAATAACTCATTTATCATCATCTATTTCTCATCTTCGTAGTCTCAAAGTTCTTCACCTGGACAAAAATCGGTTATCAGAAATAACAGAAACTCTTGTAAACTGTAAACAGCTTGCAGAGTTAAATCTATCAGCAAACTGTCTCCAAGTCCTTCCTTCCTCTCTCTGTTCACTGATAAAGTTACGTATCCTTGAAGTAGCCAATAATCAACTAGAACATCTCCCACATGATATCGGAAAACTTCACGATCTCCGTCATCTTGTTTTACATGACAATAAATTATGGTTTCTTCCATTCTCTATCACCAATTTTCATAAATTATGGAGCCTACAACTGGCAGGGAATCTATTTGATCATATTCCTATGCAAGTTTGTCAGCTGACTTCACTACACACATTAAACTTTGCACGGAATCGTCTGATGGATGTTCCTTCAGATTTTGACAGTTTGCGGAACTTACGTGAACTTAACTTATCTCATAACAGGTTCACATCCGTTGGGACAATGATAATTCGTTTGGAGCAGCTTAAGTATCTGAACATGTCTCACAATCGTTTGCAAGCTTTACCTGTGGAAATGCAGCGTCTAAGACATCTAAAAGTCCTTCACGTCCAAAACAATCAAATCCAATCAATTGCAGATGTTTTCCCAAACGTCCAATTTCTAAATTTAGCAAATAATGACTTGACAATTATGTCTGTGTCACAAATGTTGAAAATGGTGAATTTGAATATCAGCCACAACCAATTGGAAGTTCTTCCACAAGGATTATCGCTACTCAGAAATTTGAAATTTTTACATCTCAACAAAAATCTCCTCCGAGAGGTAACTCCAGATATTGTGCGTCTGAGGAAATTAGAAACTCTCGACCTCTCAGATAATAAACTGACAATGTTACCGATGGTCGTGTATAAAATACAGACACTTAAATCTTTCAATATCCATGGGAATAATATAGCACCTCTTGCTCCAGGAACACTAGAACCCATACATAGAGGTTCAACAGAAGATTCTACAAGAATTTCAGATCGAGTCAGGATTCCCGATCCAGAAGAACCTGCAATGATTCTTCAAGAAAAATCCAGGAAGTCAACAAAAACGTATTCTGAGAATTTTATAATGAAACCTCATGAAACGCAGGATGTTAACTCTAGACCCTCAACAGCTCCAGACCACAAGAGCTTCAGTTTCTTCAAAAGGAAGGCTGGAAAATCGAAGAGTAAAAGTCATTTGACAACAGATTCAAGGTCCCATCAAACCCTTAGCTATTCTATAACGAAGTCTAAATCGAAAAGACAAAATAATGCATCATGGGATTTGAATAAGACTGTGACATCGCATGCTTCTCTGGAGACGCTACCAGGATTAGAAGAAATGAAATCATATGCTAGTCCAGCTATGACTAGAAATCATTCAGAAAGTAATCTAAATATGGCAACGCACGAGTCAATGAATATTTTATCCACTGCAGAATTTCAGATCGACGAGATCCACGCCGATTTTTCCTCTGAAGATGAAGATTTTAACGACAACCATTCCAATAATTCTTTTGTGAGTAAACCTTCACTACAGGCTATTACAAGACGACTGGTTACAGCAGACATCCCTGCCTACAAATCTAACAATAATATCCGGGAAAGTCACCATGACAACACAGGTCAATGGTATTTAGGTAAAGGTTATGATCCTAACAAGGTTGAAAGTCAACATGTAACAGATTATAATCTATTGGGTGTTTGTACCGAGTTAGAGACGATGATGAGTAAAAAACTTCTACATCCAGCCCTTATATTAAACACAGGATTATCTAAAAGGTATGTAAGTATAATCACAATCAAACCTGTCTAAAAGGTATTTAAGTATAATCACAATCAAACCTGTCCAAATTTTCTGCAGATAATATACATGAACATTTAAAGGGCTATTGTTAAATTTTACTATCAAGTTCAAACTGTAGTATAATGGCAATAAATATTACAACGAACATCAACAAATCACACCATGTGCTAACTTATCCTGTAGCAAGTGCCGTAGAGCTTAAGACAATGTACGACCAAAAGTACTTTTATTATGTTCCAGAAATTGTCTAAACTGATCTTACTACAGTATAGTAATACAGTAATAACTGTGCTATCTTTTTTGTATGAGCCAATCTATTCTATATGATGGTCCTTTTATATTCAGGTGTTCTTAAATACATACATTTAATAACAACAATCTCCACATACATTACAACAATTTATATTTCATACTTTTAAAATATATGTAAACAATCTGGCTTGTTGAGCCATTATTATTAAGTTGAGTAAAAACTGCTTGCTTTTATAAATTTAATGTGTTATAGTTATAGCTTCAAATTGTGTTGTATTCTAGATTTAATGAGAAAGTTTTAAAGAAGACTGATGATGGATTATGGAGAATGAGTATGGATGAAGAAGATGACAATGTCAAGGCAGACGATGGGGTTTATGGTATAGAATACAGTCCAGTTGAAACATTTACAATAACGGAGAATGGTGGTCATTATGTATCTAACTATGATGGTAATATCCAGGTTGTAGTGCCGACACGAGCTGTACCCACGACAGTTCATTCTACAATACAGGTAACAACAACTTTATGATCTGATGTTATTTTCATTCCGTTTATTTTTTTTGATGATCACTACATTTACATTGAAGCAATCGTTTAATAAGAAAAACACAATCTGGTCCTATTAACCTTGATTAAACAACCAATTAAAAGACTTTTCAGCTTATTTGGATGATATGTAGATAATAAAGTTTGTCTCCTATTCCAGTGAGTTAGATCTCACATCTCACTCTTGTACATGACATGGAGTAGTGCTGGCAGCACAACCTCCTTGGTTTACTCCAGTTGTCTTCAACTGATTTAGATCTCAGACCATTGCCATAACTTTTTTAAATGTAATTAATTACCATTACCTTTAAATGCAATCATTACAACTACTTTCACATTTTTGGCAACATAATTTATTACCATTATCACCCAATAATACATTCATTGCCATAACTTTTTTAAATGTAATTAATTACCATTACCTTTAAATGCAATCATTACAACTACTTTCACATTTTTGGCAACATAATTTATTACCATTATCACCCAATAATACATTCATTCTACAGTAGATATCGTTTGTGTGATAAATTTCATAATCTACTGCTTAGGAGATATCGCTTTACATGAATTTGATTGGTCAATCAAAAAGGAACTACTTTTTTTTATTTTCAAAGAACAGTTCATTTTTTATTAAAAGTAACTTCTTTCTTATTAAAAAGAAACTATTTTCATTTAATTGGCTTTGATGGAAACACTAGGTCAATATAAAGGACTTTGCAATGGTTGAATTGCTGTCAAAAAATGATGTATCACTATGCTGTAATGTAATCAGGGGCCTGTTTCACGAAATTTTAACTAAGATAAAATCCAAATTTTAGTAATTTGAATGGATAATATTAGATTGATTTTAGTACTTAGCCAATCAAAATTGAAGTATCTACTAAAATTTGGACTTTATCTTTAGTTATGATTTCGAGAAACAGGGCCCAGGTTCATTAAAAGTGAAATCTATAGCAAAGAATTATATTTATTTATTTGTGCATGTAAGAAGGGATTGAGTGATAAATAAAATGTCCTTGTCTTTTTTGATATCCAAAAATATCAACACTCGTCGATAAAGTAAAAAAAAAAAACTTGGCAGGAGATTCTCTATTTACCCATTACTTACACTTTAAATAATTAATTACCATTACACAGTACTTTAAGATATACTTTAGAACAATCTTTTATTTTTAAAAACATTATTTGTTATCATGGATATCACATCCATTCAAATAATCTTTGGCACTGATAAAGACCTACTGCATAGGGGATTCAGGGTCCGGCATGACAAGGCTTGCCCACAATGCCTTAATTACTATCAAACAATTTTCCAAATTATATCTTTCAAAATTCTTCAGGTTCTCAAAATCAACGAAAAAGTATTGTCACAAGTTCAACAATTAAACAGATTTGCCAACAATGTCTTACATATTGGTCCAATTGTAATGTTACAATTACTTGAAGAGGTTAACTTCGACAGTCAGGTGAAGGTCACTATACCTGCTCCTAGATCGATGAAAGGTCATCTGATATTGTTAACAATACAAGGAGATAATTCTTGTATACCTAGTTCTAGTGGGTATCAGTATAACCGAGGATTGGTCACATTTAACACATGGCATTTTACAAGGTAAGATTTAATTTTAAGTCTTTCTATTAATTCTATGTAGAGCTTAGAAATTGCAGGAGGGCTGCACTACACACAGACAAGTTGAAGATGTTCTTGAGCTGGTCTTTGATTTGCCTGGTGGATACAGGTCTAACAATAACGTGAGCTTTTTTTGAGGTCCACAGATAGAAACAATGTTGAGATATAAATGATCTTATGTTTAACTGTTGACAGTTTAAAAGCACACAAGACATCAGATTTACCCAATTCAACAGTTTATTCTGACTGAAATCAGAGGATTTAACTCCTTCAAGTTGAGCAGTCTTTTTACTATACATAAAGTTTTAAATAATTTAAAACCATAGTTTAAAGGAGGCAATAACAATTTTATACTTGACATAATTTGACATATTCTATATTCAAACATATTAATCTCTATTTGCAGACGAGTTGCTATAGTGACCAAGGCTAAATGTAAATACAAGGCCTGCAAATCAATGGAGCAGATTCTACAATGTCTTGGACTGGTTGATGGTGTATAAAGATGGATTATTATTTATAGCAAAACCTATCTATGTCTTGGACAAGAAAACCATTTAGATTAAAACATATCAATATATATTGGACTAGTTGATTGTGTCTAAAGGATGGATTATCATTTATAGTAAATATATATCTATATCTTGGAATGGCTAGATTGTGTCTGAAAACTGGACTATCATAAAATAAATGCATTAGTTAAAGACATACATGGAACTTTTGGATAGCTGGGTATTGTTAAGTTTCTTAAAAGAGGCTGTAAATTTTCTGTGATTGTGGTTGTTAAAAAACCCTCTTCATTTCAGCATGCATTATCAAAATAATAAACTACATGTAAGAAAGTAACATTCTAAAAATTATTTAAAAACTTTGTTTTAGCAGATTTGAACCACCTTCATACCAGACTTTTAATCAAATGACTTTTAGTTAGATGGGAGGATTCTTGAAAGTGCTTTTAGGGCCTTTGTCGATCATAAACACCAAAATGATCTGTGATGAAGCGGATCTAGAAAAATTGCATTCGAATGGTAAGGGGGTTCTGAAAGTTCTCTGCATGTTTCACATCCAATATATAGGGTTTGACAAATGTGGCCCTCACACCACCTCCATCCTACACACAATGTAACTTTAAATAGAATAGCCCTTAGTGTAATTAAGGTAAAAAAAAATAAATGTTATTAAAGATATTTGTACTTACCGTTATAAAATAAGAAAGGAATGTTATAGGGTGGTATTGATGACTTTGTTTTACTTCCATCTAGACGTAATCGACAAGCTAAAATATATTCTAAACCATCTTTCCCCTGACAGTTCTCTTGTAATAACATATTCTATAAAAAAAGAAATTAACATAATATGGATAGTAAGATCAAACAATTTTACTCAAATACTTTCGATCTTTAAAATGCACAGGTTTAGTCCAATACAATATTTAAACAGTAGTTAACATATGCTTTATAAAGATTACCAATGGCTAACAGCTTTATTCTACATAAAGTAACAATATGTTGATTTTAAGTATTTCACAGATAACAAGAGTCCAGGTGGGTTTAATACCTACGAAATTTAGTTGAAATCTATGGAGTAGATTAGAAGAAAACTTTGTGAAAGAAAAAAAACCTCTCCAGTAACCTGCACTGCCCCCCTGAGACTGATCAAGTTCATTTGATTAAGCACCACTCAAGCAAAATGTGCAGGCCATGCAAAATGGGGCCATGCAACTTCATTTGAACAAATTGTGCAAGTGGCTTGCATGAGGTATATTTATATGAACTCTTTAAATGGTATTAAGTGTTATAAGTAGTAGTAAGCATAAAAATAAAATACAAACCTGTACATTGCAGACTCCAGATGTGAGACGTGACTGCATTGTACCGTTACCACCAACAAAAGATGGTATCTCCGTTACACCTTCCGGAGCATTGATTTCAAATGTTACAGCACCATTAAATCCATCTGTTAATTTATTACCATATTCATCCTATAGAAACATAAACACTTATGAAAACATAGCTTGCTAGGTGACATAAAATAAACCCAACAAAAGCTTAGTTGTCCAAGCCATTCATAAAGGTTGTCTGAAGCTCTGAAAATAATATCTCCAGAATCAAGTAATAAGTTTTTGATGACAAGGGCAATAACTCCAAAATAACCCTTGTCGTCTCTTCTATTTTGTTTTTCATTTTTAACCCAGTCGTGCTTGAAAAATATGAATACTCATTGGAGGGGGTTCAAACTTAGGGCAGATTTGGCAAGAATCTAGTGCCTCAACTGCAAATCTACCAAATCAAACCAAATTCCATTCCATTCAATTCAGATCTATATTTTAATAATTTGTATGGGGCTTTAGCATCTAAAAGTCTGGTTTTTCAAGTAAAAGAAGTAACAGTGTATTATGCTAGCTTCAAAACAACTTTCATACTGAGATACATACCCATAGAATAAGTTTTAAGTTCCTAATGAGCTGCCTGCTATTGGAACTGGATGTATTTGATACAGTTGGTGTACCTGGTACATCTACAGGAGAGAATACTGCAGGTGGACCAGCTAATACATCAAACGTTATCTAGAATACATAAAAAAATTACATACTTGTGACATTATGTTTTATAATTTGAAAAAGTTCAAACAGTAACCAGTTATGTGATCAGTAAAGTCTACAACATCCATAAACAAGGCAAAAGGGGATCTATTTCCAATAAATATATGGATAGAGAGATTAAGCTAAATGGGGTTTTAGTTTCACTCATTCAACATATCTGTTTCAATAATCCTCTGGTGACGTGTGCGAAAACCACAAGGCTGGACAAGCCATCCAACTTCATGTAATTACAAACCAAGGATCAATCCCATGACTTGCATAGATAACAGTGTACCATTCGGCCACCCAACCCCCAACAGATATAGAAAAGTCATCCCCATTTAACTTACCACAGTACTAAATACTTCATATCTTGAATCAAAATACACAAACATTATATTATATTTTCCACATTTTTCTGGTGCTTTCTGTTTTCTATAATACAAATACAAATGTTTATTAGAAATGTCATCTCCGGCAATGAGAAGTGACATCAGATGTTCTAAAAAGAAATAATATACGATACTCTGAAAACTGCAATACAGCAGACAGATTAGAAAAATTTTTTTTATTGTTGGTATCATCTTGAGACTTATTTTCAAAAGAAAGGCTACTCTTGGTGAGTTTAATTGAGTGTGACTAATTATAATTTCTAAAAAAAACATGGTGAGGTTTATAAATTTAAGAAAGTAACAATAAAACTTACTTAAAATGAAATAGACCTTTTTCACTTTTCCCTGGAGAGTCTGGAGGTACCGATGTTGGCTGCAAAAATGAAAAAAAAGAAAAAAATATCTAAAGAACACTTTTAAGTCCTTATTTTTGTATTATTTACAGATGGAAAATAATTATCGACCATCTGGTGTAATACAGCTTTAAGGTTCCCTTCTTCTTTTGTTCTTATCTCTATTGATATGTATCTCAGTTTCTGCATGTGGTTGAAAATAAGTCCTAAAATTCCATGTGTTATCGAACAATAGAATTATTTTAAATACGTAAAGTGATCACTTGATATATTTGGCTGAAATTTTCAGATACTGTAACTTGTAAGTAATCTTCTATCGATGTCAGTAGACAGGTAAATGAGTCAGGGGTATTTTTGGAGGATCAAATATTATCTACACCACATGCACGAGACCTATGTCATTATCCTTTCTATGTGAGTCTAGTGTAAAATTGACCATAACTTGCTTACTTTAGCTGGCATTGTGTTTGCCCCTTCTTCATACTTCCATAATTTCATGGAAAGATGTGTTGCTAGTGCGGTTGTTAAGGCCTTTTCTTCTTCATCTAAAACTTTTACTTTAAATTCTACACAAAAAACAAAACAAATATAAATGTAATATTCATGTCCATTAATTTTTATTTTTCGTAATTTTCTTACTTCATTTTTCATATCCATGATGAATCGCATAGGACTATCTGTCAAACTTAAATTAGACTAATATAATTTCTTTACCTACCTGGGAAATTGTGCCCAACAATAACTTCCATTTCTTCCTTGTAATCTACAGATAATGTTGATGGACGGGTTGGATCTGATTGAACACTGATCTTTAACTTTGGTCCCGATAAAATACCTTTAGTTAGGAAAGCTTTCGGCTGGAGATCATAAACACCGCTTGAAAACAAGAACATTTTTTTATTTACACAAAAAAGGAACCAGTGCTTTGGAAATGAAATGAAATGGGTTTCAACATACAACTTTCCTGCACCTACCGGGCTAATGAAGACAAGCATAGGCCATGAAGTGTGCTAGAAGGAAACTTTTGCCTTGACTTCAAACTGTCAAGGTATCTTTAATGTGCTGCCAATGAAATACAAGGAACCTGGGGGGGGGGGGGTTGTCCTATCCAAATGATTAATGCTTTTCCTTGTCCAGCCTTCAACACTGCCCTCAGGAAACCAGGCTGAAATATACTTCTCAGGAACTTTTTCGACCAAAACCAAGATCGAACTGAGAACCTCCTGTTTTTTGAGCCAGTACCGAGCCTACATGGTATTTGTTGAAAACTAATTAGTGATAGAAGTCTTGTATGTATGAATACTTACGGAGAGGCTGTAACTACCATAGTACCAAAATCAGATATACCTTGTGAATTGGTCTTCACTGGCTGTGGTACTGGATTTAACTATAAATATTCAATTAAATTACTTAATTTTACATCACAAGATGGAACTGTATTTATTGTAATTTTTACATAGATATATTCCTTCAGGATTACAAAAATATGTTCACATATATTGCCTTATTTTATGTCAAGAGATGGGGTCACAGTATGAGTATAAAGGGTGTGTATGGCATTACCACCTACTGTTATTCAAATTCTAACTGCCAAGAGAAGTTTTTATGTACTCTACTAATTTGTACATACCACGCATGCACAGATGGAATAAAAAATATCTCAACCAACCACGACAGCTGAAATATATCTGTTGTGTTTAATTACGTTATGATTAAACTCACATTGACAGACCTGCTACAGGAATAAATTATGTGTCATGCAAATGTAACTGTCAGTTCAGAATATTGCAGACTAACAATTGATCATCAACAATGTAAAGTAATACAAACCTTTATTTTTGTATCTTTAGCAAGTTGTATTCTGATATCGGATATTTTACAACTGTTACCAGCAGTATCTTCTAACTGTACCTTTAAACCAGGTAATTTATTATCTGTATATACAATTAGTGGCTGAAATAATAACCATAACTATTTATAGAGAGGGAATTAGAACAATCTACATCTTCATATACCTGAATTAACAATATTTAATACACCTTGTAGGAAGTGAATGATAAAGTGATTAGGAGATCTTCAATAATAATAATAATGAGGTTTTATTAGTGTCTTCCCCCTGTTGTCACATGCTCAAAACACTTTTAGTAAAGGCTCTACTGGTAAAACTGTTGAAACAGGAAAGTCATTAAATTGATTAAAAGTCTGTTGATTCTTGATCGGTTGTGGAAGTTCATTCCATAATCTAGGATCAGCTAAACAGAAGGACCTATAAACATATGACATTAAGTTATATATTGGAACAACTAGTGACTGTTTATTTTGAGAGCAAAGTGATCTGATAGGGTTGTAGTCAGATAAGTATTGAAGTGCTGCGTTATTGTTTGACATCCAATGGGTATCACTATCTAAGATCTTCTATCTGTATATTCCATTCTACCAACTTTTATCTCAATATTCAATTCTACACAGCTGTAAATAA